CTCTGTCTTTTTTCCCCTTTGTTCATTTGTTTTGATTTTTAAATTCTACATATGAGTAAAATTATATGGTATTTATCTTTTTCTGATTGACTCATTTTGCTTAGCAAAATAGTCTGATTCCATCCATGTCCTTGCAACTGGTAATATTTCATTCTTTTTCATGGATTAGTAGTATTCCATTATATATACACATATACACAACTTCTTTTTTACTCATTCATTAGTCAATGGACATGTGCTATTTCTGTAATTTGAGTATTATAGATAATGTTGCCTTATATATCAGACTGCATGTATCTTTTTGATTTAGTAAATTAGAATTTTTTTGGTTGTTGTTCTTTGGCTAAATACCTAGTAGTGCAATTGTTGGATTGTAGAGTAGTCTTATTTTTAGCTTTTTGAAGAATCTCCATACTGTGTTCTATAGTAGCTGCACCAGTTTGGATCCCTACCAACAGTGCAAGAGGGTTCCTCTTCCTTTGCATCCTTGCCAAAACCTGTTGTTTCTTGCATTATTGATTTTACCCATTCTGAGAGGTGTGAAAAAATAAATATCTCATTGTAGTTTTGATTTGTATTTCTCTGATGATGAGTGACATTGAGCATCTTTTCATGTCTGTTGGCCATCTGGATGTCTTCTTTGAAAAAAAATGTCTATTCATGTCTTCTGCCCATATTTTATTTGGATTATTTGTTTTTGGGGTATTGAGTTGTATAAATTTCTTATATATTTTGGATAATAACCCTTTATCAGATATGTATTGGCAAATATCTTTTCCCATAGGTTGCCTTTTAGTTTTGTTAGTTGTTTCCTTCAATGTGTAGAAGACTTTTATTCTGATGAAGTCCTAAGAGTTCATTTTTGCTTTCATTTCCCTTGTCTCAGGAGACATATCTTAAGAAGAAGTTGCAATGGTTGAAGTCAAAGAAGTTACTGCCTGTGTTGTCCTCTAGGATTTTTATGGTTTCCTGTCTCACATTAGATCTTTAATCCACTTTGAATTTATTTTTGTGTATGGGGAAATAAAGTGGTCCAGTTTCTTTCTTTTGTATGACGCTGTCCAGTTTTCCCAACACCATTTGTTGGAAAGATTTTTTTCCCATTATGTATTCTTTCATGCTTTGTCCAAGACTAATTGATCATATTGTTGTGGATTACAAAAGAGTTTTAAGTAGGGATGCAATGTATTGCATTTATGTTCAGAAAAATGGGTGGAGTTCCTAAAGAAAAGAATATAGCTAATGAGATAGAGAAGCAGTGATAAGGATCTGAAAAAATGTGGTAGTTGGAGAATAAATAAAAGAAGTCAAATTCATGAATTGCTTAGGAGGTAAAAATTATATTGATGAGTCCACAGTACTCAGAGCATATGTGAGCACATGGCCTCATCTGAGAGGGCTGTGGGCAAGAACAAGATTCACATGAAACCAGGAGGGGAGTGATGCCTGGGTGGCTCAGTGGTTGGACATCTGCCTTTGGCTCAGGGTGTGATCTTGGAGTTCCAGGATGGAGTCCTGCATTGGGCTCCCCCGGGAGCCTGCTTTTCCCTCTACCTATGTCTCTGCCTCTCTCTGTGTGTCTCTCATGAATGAATAAATAAAACCTTAAAAAAAAAAAAAACAAGAGGTGAGGCATGAGTCTGAAAAGGAGGAAGATGGGTGATTAGATTTAGGATGATTCTGAGCCATGGGATAAAGATTCTAGGAGCCTGGATGGTATGAATGTTTGGAGATGTATGGATGAAAATAACAGTGAAGGGATATGATTGGAAGAATATGAATAAAGAGTATGGGAGACAATAGATGAGTAAAGTGGCTGCCACTTAGAGCATTAGCCATGGTAACCAAATCAGTCATTCATTCACTTGAGAAATATAATCTCCAACAATGTACTAGGTACACTGCTAGGTGAAAGGAATACATAATGAATCATTTATACTGAGAGGGACTGACTGATCTGGTGGTTTCAGATGAGCTTGGTGTTAAGTTGATCTGGTGCCCATACTGGCTTAGGAGAGAAAGAGATAGGATGCCATTAGTGTCCATGGCATTGCCTATGAAAGGCAGTATAGCAATGTCTAATTGGAATATTCATTTCTGGACTCAGCCAAGCCTGAGTCTGCTCTGATGTGTGGGGTGTGTTGCCTTGAGAAAATAATTCAACCTGAGTCTCAGTTTTTTTCATTTGTAAAATTAGGATGATGACACCCACCTTGCAACATTAAATACACCTCTGAGTATTTAAATGAGGTGCATTTAAGGGCTGAGCAAGGTACCCAGCTCAGAGTATGCATAAAAAATAATTAATTTTTGTTATCTGCATCATTATCTAGTTCATATATTTATAGCCACAGGTAAATCAAAGACCTTGCTACCTCAGGAAATGGAGACCGGCTCTGAATTTTCTGAGGCTAGTGTGGGCCAAAGGTGCATATAATGTAAGAAGCAGCTTCCTTAAAGGCGACGGAGATGGGTTTCATGTGGAAGGACCTCAAAGTTGTCGCTACTGGAAATTTGCTTACTTTTCCACTTTCAGCAAGTGAGATCTTTACAATGTCTAATAAAACTGGAACACAATATTCTCCTTTCTTAGATTAGGCATCCATATTTCCTCACTGGGAATCACAGCTAGTGAAAAATAATGTATGTGTTTTTTGAATTGCTGTAGCTACCAAATACCAGTGATCAGTTTGGTTTATGAGGCAGATAACCTGGACCCTCTAAAATAACACTGGAAAAAAGCCTCATGGGATGAGGTGGGTTAAGGCTTTGAGGTCAGCCAAACATTTCTGCTAACAAACAGGGTATTTGGGGATTTAATCAACTGGGGAGGACAGTGGTGCTTATTGAGCTTGCAGATTCTCTAGGCAAAAAGCTTCCCAGAGCACACACAACTAGAGAAACAAGGCTGTGACTCTGTGTGGAGAACCAAAACCCTAGTGGAGGCTGGGGGGGCCATGCAAATGCATTATTGTCTCAGTTGTCAGAGCAGTTCTGCATTCTTGGGTTAGAAGGAGTTTATGGAATTGAGGGTTTGTTAGTAGGAATCATTTTTCAAAGGTAGACAACAAGTGTTATTGTAACTGTGGGAGATGTTGAATCTGTTCCTGATATTATTATGATGGGTAAGGCCTACAATAATAAGAAAAAGTAGAGTAGCAATGTTAAGATTTTCAGACCACACGTCTGATTTTGGACCTTCAACAATGTTGCCCATTGTTACCTCTCCCCTCAAGGACATGTGTAAACTATTGAAGTATGTGAATCATTTCTTCATATGTAGAATATTCAACTATGGAGCTATAAAAAGTTGAGTGTAAAAGCTTTATCTCTCTTTGCTCTCAGTGGAAACCCTTGACTCCAGTTTGACATAGCAGAGAGAAACAGGGCTTTGAAAATAGCCAGACTTGGGTTCATAATCCACTTCTACCAACTGGGTGAGCTTGGGCAAGTTACCTTCTATTTCAGAAACCTCTGAAGCCATCTATAAAATGTCAGTAAACAAGCCTGTCTAGAATAGCTGCAGGCAGTAAATAGGAAAGCCTGTTCAAGCACAGTGCAAGGCTTAAATCTCCCTCCCTCTTGCCTGACTAATGCACTGTGAAGAGACCTGGAAGAAATTTCACCAAGAGCCTGTAATTCTAGACTTGGCTTTGCCACTAACACATGGCGTGTCCTTGACAGGTCATGTACCTCAGTGGGCTCCAACCCTCTATTGGTAAGATGTAAGAATTGGTCTCACAATCCCCAAGGTTCCCCTCAGGTCCTGGGTAAACATGCCCCCTGCATAGATTTGCTCACTACTGGCTTGAACCTTGGTATTCTTATACCTGTCCTATAGTCTTCTGTTTCATCGGCCCATGGTGATCTCCTATCTCTGTAATAGTATAAGATTTCCTGTGTCACTCATTGTGCACTTGATTATAAGCAGGTTTATTTTATTTAGTAAACTTTCCAGATTTTAGTTCTATCTAGAACACAAATCTCCCTGAGTAAAGGAGTGCTTTATACCCTTGGCCTCTTTCGGTGTGTGCCGGAACAACATAGGTGATTAATGACACCTCGTTGAACAGTTAGCATTATGTATACAAAACAGTGGACGTGTGAGGTTTTGAATTTAGAACAAGGAGTGGTACCATTCTGGGAAGAGCTGAGTCTGGTCCCTCTGCACCAATAATCTACTTGTTCACTTCTTTCCTCCTCCCCCTGACACCCCCACCCCCACCCCACTGACCCCACAGAGACCTGCAAATTTTAACAAGGCTAACCTACACATGTAGCAAACTAAAAATTCCTTCACTCTGAATTTCTGTAAAGTCCTTCTCCAATGGGAGCTGTGCTATTTTATGCTATGACAGACTTTCAGTTCCTTACCCCTGGAAGCCTGTGGGCAGAACCAATCTGCATGATATTGTACAGTCTCTGTAGGGGACAGGCAGATGTGACTCAGAGTGAGTTTGATTTCCAAGAACTTCTTTCCTGGGGGTATGGCTAATGAGCTCACCTTTGAGTCTGCCAACAAAAGAGGCCTACAGAGACATCCAGATCAGTGGAAATCCACCAGTCATGGACAGGGAAGATACAGGACGCCAGCACGGTCTATGAATGTCTGCCAGGCAACCATATAAACAGGAAACCACCCAGCTCTGAGAAACCAGTTTTACTGCTTGAGTACAGCTAATCAACAGCTAATTCCACAACTCTTAGTAGGAGAAATAACTAAAAGCAAGGGGCATAAAGCCTACATTCGTGAAGTCATAGTCTATGTTAGGGTTTGTCTTAGGGCTCTATTTTTATTTATTCATTAAATATTTGTTGTGCAGGGGGTGCATCAAACAAAAATCATCACTCTACCTCCCCTGGATTCATAGGCTGTTATTAGACTTAAAAATAGCATCTAAATTCATACAGGGCTCATCTATTTTACCAGCCTGAACCCCTTTGCCCCTCAGTCCCCCGGTCACCTCATGGGTATGAGCAAAGCTCTGTGTCATACTCACCAAATGCCGAGTCAGGGGCTGACTGCTCAGATGTTGATTTCAGTACAGTTCAGAGGTTATAACAACAACAAAATTGGCATTCAGGTACCTAGTTTGATGTCATATACTTTCTCAATATGTCAGTGACAATTGTGACTGATTGGTGTGTTTTCCAACTCACTCATCATTAGCATGTAGCTCTTTAAAGGATAAAATTAATGGTCACCTAATGATGCTGGAGAAAGAAAGCAGGAGATGGCATTAACCTTCATCAAAACCACAGCATCATTATCATTTTTGCTTCTTAACAGAAATTCATAATTTTTGAAGTTCTTTTATACATATTTTCAGTTATTGATTACTTAGAGCTTTGATAGAGGTCTTCCCAGTAAAAACTGAAAATGAATCAGAAATCCAGATTAATTTTAAAATATAGGTCTTAGATGTCCACTATATATAAAACACCTAGCATTAGAAAGCTACCAGTGAACAAGAGAGACAGGAGAGAGAAGGAAGACAGTATTGAAAGAGCAAGGAAAGGATCCTGAGCAGATCATAGAAGGTGCAGTAAATTTTCTGAGGAAGCTGTTTGCTTGGCCCTGAAGGACACTGAAGACTTTGGTGAGTAGAAGACTTTTAAATGATAGTTTCCCTTTGGCCATCTGACATAGTGAACATCTGTTCCATTGTCTCTGGGGATGGTGAGCAGCATTGGAAAGAGTAGGTACTTCTGAATATTAAATTATAAGCCACCAGGCGGCTGGTTAGATGAAAGGGTTTGGTTTTTATAATCTCTTTCTATGAAGTCACCATATGCTCACCTTTCGGCTGGAACGAGGTCCTAGGGCTGAGTTGTTTGGCAGTTGGTGACTGTTTTTATTCTATGAGATTAAAATTACTTTTCTTTTCTGATTATGAACATAGTCAAAGGCAATGTTTTTTAAAGTTGAGAAAGGCAGAAAAAGAAAGAAGAGAAAAGAAATAAAGAATGATGCCACATGGGGATCCCTGGGTGGCTCAGCGGTTCAGCACCTGCCTTCGGCCCAGGGCATGATCCTGGAGACCTGGGATCGAGTCCCACGTTGGGCTCCCTGAACAGAGCCTGCTTCTCCATCTGCCTGTGTCTCTGCCTCTCTCTCTATGTCTATCATGAATAAATAAATAAAATCTTTAAAAAAAAAAGAGTGATGCCACAGTGCAGACAATGTAATAATTTGCATTTTCAACTATTTCTAGTCTAGTTTTTTCACTGATACAGACATGCAGTCATTTACGCTGATAACTAACTCGTGGATGCATCAGCGAGGGAAGAAGGTCACACAATTGTAGATCCAGCATCAGCAAGGCACAGCAGAATCTAATACAACGGTTTAAAGTACATGGGGAGTTTTGGTTGGTTTTTAGTTTTAAGAAGACAATGGACATTCCATTCTGTTGAAAAGTTGTAAGTTCCCTGAAATCTGAGCTATGTGTGACTGTATCATTATTAGCCATTAAAAGACTTTTGAAGTAAGTGTGTTTCTTATTCTTGCTTTACCAAAAGGAATAAACTGATAAAAGAAATTCAGCGGTAGTAAAGGGTAATTCAATAAGTAAAGGGTAATACACCCAGGTAGACTTAGGCACCGCTTTGTAAAGGTTTCACTTACCTCACTGACTCTGGATCCCAGAATGGTAACCAGGTTCAGCTATCACTTCTTAACAGAGCATTTTAATTTAACAGGAATAAACAGAAGTGGTTTAATTGAAATTGATTAGGTTTTGTAAGGAGAGTAGATGCTATTGCCTACAATATGACCTTGGTTATGTTGGCATACCTGTTTGGGCATGGGCTGAATGAAGCAACATATTCCCTTATTAATAGGGGGGGAAAGATTGTAGGTTTAGGAGAGAGTCTAGCAGGCAGGAGGCTAGATGGAAGACCAGCTAAAGATAGGAAAACCCCTGCATAGCAAGGGTTTGCATTATGTAAGAAAAAAACACGGAAGATGGGAATGCTTAGGTTATCTTTTTGAGTTTGTGCAAAAACTAATGTTTTTGTAAGAATACATTCTTCTGAAGCAACTAAAAAAATGTCGAATTTCATGGCTGTGTCAAAACAGTTGATCATAAAGACGGTATGTGTTGATGAAGACCCCACTTAGAGAAAGGACTTCCTAGGCCATGGCACACTGTATGAGGAAGGAATGAGGGGCAAGGAGGGAACACTCCCTAGATTGAATTCCCACTCCCTAGATTTCTGGGAGGCCCCAACTGAAATCTGAGTTCCAGATAGAGACAATAAATTGCAATTCATATGCCTAAATAGTGGAATGCCTTACGGTGCTCATGTGAGCTACCAATCTCTCCTTTGGTCATTGTGACTGCATGGTGGGCCTCCTAGACTCCATTGGTGATGCCAGTGTGTGCTGGGGAAGATTTCCCAAGTCCATCCAACTTTTTGTGCCTACTTTCATATTGTTTCCATGGCCTGAAATGACACAATCCCCTCTCTACTCCAAACCATCACCACTGTCTACTGAAATGCTGCCTATCCTTAACTTCTCAAACTGGACTGGAATGGTTTGTTTGTTTATCTGGCTTCCTTAGTGTATAATCCCCTGGAATGCAGGAACAGTGCCTGGAACAGTGGTTGGTATATGATAATCCCTTAATAATTTATAGATTCAGTGACTAAATGAATGAGAGCAAAACAGAAGCTCTACCTCTTTGGTAAACCATTTCTTTTTTTTTTTTTTAATTTATTTATGATAGTCACACACACAGAGAGAGAGAGAGAGAGGCAGAGACACAGGCAGAGGGAGAAGCAGGCTCCATGCACCGGGAGCCCGACGTGGAATTCGATCCCGGGTCTCCAGGATTGCGTCCTGGGCCAAAGGCAGGCGCTAAACCGCTGTACCACCCAGGGATCCCTGGTAAACCATTTCTATTGTTGACCCTTACTAATGTCCACTTGCCTGAGGAATGTTATTTCTAATATATACAATACTATTTCTATTCCTCTTAATATATTTACTGGGTACTTATTACGTGCAAGACACTATGAAATCTTATGTAATCCTTACAACATGCTGCAGGTCCAATGATTATCTCTACTGGTAAGAAAATCAATTGGGAAAGGGAGGTCACTGGGCCAAGGTCATGAAGCTAGTAAGTGACAGAGCCAGGATTTTCACCAGGACTGTCTGAACGAGATCCCACATGCTCGTCTACTTACTTCAGCAGTTCTCCTTGTCCCTCCGGGCCAGGTAGAGACTTGGCTTCCTCAGAAAATTTTCTTACACCTGTGTCTTCATTTTCCATTTTCTCATCTCTTCCCATTAGGACTATAGGCCCTGGGAGGCAGGAATCCTGTCTCTCTTCTTTCCATTTTGTGTGGCCACCATCTTGTGAAGTTGTCAAGAGAGGGGTTCCTGTCCATACCAAGCAGATGAGGAAATAGTGGTCTGGGAATTTGTCTAATCTGACAAAGCCATCCTCTGTCATTTCTAATCCCAGGCTTTGGATCTGGAAGAAAATGCCTTAGCCAGTCTCCTGCTAAACAATTTTGAGTTCACAGAATAGAGTTCTGTTCACCAATAGAGTTCACAGAATTCTAGAATTGCAAGAAACCACAACAGTTACCTGAATAAATGTCCTCATGGAATGGGGAGGTGGCTTACCCAAGGCTATGGAGCAAGTGAGTAGAAAGATCGGAGTCATGAGAACACACTTAGTCCCAGGCTTATGGTTCTTCCTCATTGATATATGATATAAATGATTCAGATTTGAACCAAGGCGATAATGTCTTTACAATCATTGTCCTTGACCTATATGCAAAGGATAGGTTTTTTATTTTTAACTATTTATTCTACTTGGTGCACTTACTGAATTGCTTTATCAGGTTTTTTTTGTTGTTTTGTTTTTTGTTTTTGTTTTTTGTTTTTTTTTTTTTGGCATTGCTCTCTTGCCATCCCCGGACTGCCCCACCCAGCTGCAGCCCTCCATCCAGCATCCCCCCTCCCTGTTGCCCCTCTCACCAGCCTTTTGTTTTCCTCATGGCTGCCTTCCAACTGTGCTCCACACACCCAGCTAAGGCCATTTCCTGGCTGCCATCCTGCACCAGTGCTGTAGCTGCTAAAATATTAATGGCTCATTTTGTGAAAAATAACACAGTAAGGCTTGCTGTAAATTAAAATTACCAAGGAGATGGAAAACGATGAAATGGAGGAAGTAAAGCAAAGCCATAATGTGAAAAATGGCCTTATAGGGCAAAAGAGGACACCTTAGCTCTGCCTTCTCCTTCACAGTACAAGGATGTCACTGTGGGCAATGCATCTGTACTGGCCTGGATTCACCCTCTTGGCTATGTGGATGAGGTTTATGACAAAGAAGATAGCCCCTGTGGTCTTGCCTGGCTACCTGCTGTCCTGGATCCACTGGAGGAGAGGAGGTGGGAAGGGCAGCACAGATTTGGGAACAAAAGGTAAACTGTGTGGATAAAGAGAACTGGGGCTTCCAGTGTCAAAAATGCATGTGACATGTTGGTGGGAGGAGGGCCGAAGTATGCTGATGGCAAATTAGGTTACATCCAAAGCCAAAAAGTGTGGTTTTACCCTTCGTTCAGTCTTTAGTGAAACCACTTAGCACTTTATGTTTTAATTATTAGATTCGCTAACTATACTCTTTTCTTGTCATCGTTGTTGTCCTGATGCCTTGCAACATGCTTGGCACAAGTCACAATGATAAGCTACATTTTCCTAATGGATGGGATGAATAATTGGAAAGGGGAGGGGTAGAGACCAAAAATTGACCCTTAACATTTGCAGCACAGTGAATATTACCATTTTTATTCCTTTTATGATGAAGAGAGTACAAAGGGCTGGGGACAGAGACATCACAGGTGGAGGAAAGATAGTGTCAACTCTGCAAAATATATCCCTAAATTATACATAGAAGGGAAATAGAGTCTCAGGGCAGCCTTTCCCAGCTAGAAAATTGGGACCTATGCTGGTGAGTTTGCTGATAACTTCTACGGCTACCAGGGCATATGCCAGTATTCCCAGGAGTCCTGAACACATCTCCTGGTGCCAGTAACTCAAACATCCTTTTCTATTCCCAAAGCAACCTGGGCATTCTTTCTTTCCCCTCAAGTTCCTAACTGGAGTCTCATTCTCTCTGTCTTCTTCCTTATTCTTGTCTGACTCGAGCCAGGTTTGCATAGGTTTCTCTGGTTTCTGCATCACTGGCATAACTGGGGATGGCTACAGTCTTCCTTCAATTCAGGAAATTCTTCCAATGCTAAGGCTTTCAGCTCTGCCCAGACTCTTTCATCTTTCCATTTTACCTCCTGCCCCCTTCCTCCTGGAGCACAGAACTCTGCACTTTGGACTTCCAAGCAAGCATGGCTTATGTGGAGGGGAAGAGTAGAAGCATGTCCCATTAAGGCTTGATGAGGACCCTGGGTTTCATTCAAATAGACTGACCTGCAAAGAACCTTCATTGCCACCTTCTTTAATTTCTGCCATTCACTCCACTACACTGAACTTCTTAATAGATACTGTTCAGCCCCAGGCCTGCCTGCAGCTCATTTGGTAGTAAAAGCAGTAGTGAAGCTGTGAGAGGTGGCCCAGGAACCAGGCTTTTTTCTGGCTGTGAGCATGCACACTGTATATGCAGTGTGCAAGAAAGCCATTGTCAGTCATATAAAACGGTTGCTATGGAATATGTTGAAAGTGGGAACATGATTTAATTGTGGATTTAATTGTAAGTGTGATACTAGTCAGAAAGGCCCAGGAAGCTGGCACTGCAGCCACTAACCAACTCAGGGAGAAGAAAAGAGCAGCAGAAACCGCTTCGGAGCTCCAGCTGATGTTGATGTATGTGGACATCCTCAGGTCTCCTGGCCCCCTTCCCCTCACCCAGATTTGGTAAGTGGCAGAGCTAAACATTTGCAAATTCACAGTCATAGTCAGTCATCCGGCACATTATGAACTTCCACTGGCGATCCCTGTGGGGAGAGAGTCAGAAAACCAATGCCAGTGAGAAAAATCACTGCTGAGGGAAAAGCAGTGAACAACCTTTGGAGAATTTAGGAACTGAAGGAACACCTTATCTCACTTTGTACTGTAGGAAGTCTCTAGAAAACCATCAGGTAATCATCTGTGAGGTCTGGAGTCCTAGACACCTCCCTCCTCTGTGCAGGTGGCACATTGTAGGTTACTGGCTATGTGGAGGTCCTATTTGTCATTCAGGGTCAGCTGGCACTGCTCTGTCCCACGGGTACCTCAAGGACAAATAGGTTAACAGCTTGAAATAAAAGCATTTATTTAACATTGTCTCCATTCCATTGTAAAGAATCTTCTCTTAAACAGGCCACCCATTTGCTCACTTATTTTTTTACTGAATACTTACTACATTCTAGGCTCCATATTATATGCAATGTGTTTCCCTTCAGAAAACACTACTGTAGGGAAACTAAGTGAAGGGAAATAACTCTAAAACCTCATAAAGTCGAAAAGAAAATGCCTGCCATTCATGAATAACAGAAATTGAATTGCGTATTAGTTCTAGATGTCAGGCATGGGTATGAAAGTACATACAATTGCTCAGTTTTGGAAAATGTGGTGTGGATACACTTCAATGAATGTTCTTTGCTAAGGGCAAGCCTATGTTCTTTGTTCACCTATTGAACAAAAATTTATTGAGTGCCTACTCTGCATGGCGCTATTCTGGTGTAGTATCATTTAACAGTGATATATCAATTGTAATCATTATTCTGTGAGTGCATTCAGTATATCAAAAACATTGCACTGGTGTCCAGGTTTGCTCATTTACTCTTCACCATGATTCATAATTTAGGTGGAGAAGTAGACTTAGAGCAACATGTGACATTCTTTAAGACAAGGAAGTGACAATTTCAGGTTCCAAGTGTCGACCTGAAATCTTATTCTTTCTCTTACACAACAATATCTCCATAATTATATGCCCATAACCCTATCAGAGGACATGGCTGTGAAATCCTCTGCAAAGTCCCAACAAAGGGCAAAAATCAAGAGTCACTCCAGATATGATCATGCAAATCCTTCCAAAGCACAGCTGGGTCATTTAATTTTCGAATTATCCTTCTCCCTTTCAACCTGGAGGCTTCTTCCCAGTTGAGTTTATCCTAACCAACAGGTAATACTGAGAGGTCTCCATCCAGCCTTTGATCTGGAACATGAGATTGACCACATTTAGTTCTGGGAGATACCTCTTGCCAGCAGCTATGGGACATATTGGTCAGCCTAAATCAGGGTTTGTAGTTCTGAGTCTGCTGCTCCAAGTGATTTATTTAAAATTATTTGGAAGAGCTTCTCCTGGTACGAGTCCTGAGAGCCTTGGTGCCCAACTATTTATTAGTATTTATTCCTGCAGTTGTCAACAGAGGACATGGCTTCTTTTAGATGGAGATTAGCATATTGGTGGCATGCATGTTTATCAAATGAATTTCATTACTGTAATGAGTCTTATTTATCTGTATACCAACAGACAGATAAATAGGCTCTTCAGCCAGGCATTCACACTACTCTTTTAAGAGGCTGTTAATTGATGCTGAGCCAATTTTAGACTTGGTCCTAAGAGAACCAAGGGACTCAATCAAGCTCAGTCTTTGATTTCTTTCCAGAACAGTATCTTTCAAGCAGGGACATTTTTGCTCCCCTGGGGGATTTTTTAGTTGTCACAATTATGGGGGAGGGGAGATTCTACTGCCATCTAGTGATAGGGATCAGGGATGCCACTAAACATCTGCAATGAAGGACAGGCTCTGGCAACAGAATTATCTGGCCTGAGATGTCAATAGTACTCAGGCTGAGCAACTCCATTCCAGGAGGAACCCACTATGATTTGCATATGGAAGGAAGGTCCCTGACCAGTAGGTCCTGGACTGAGGATATTTCTCCAAGCTGATGGCCTTAGTATCTTTCAGCAGAGCTGAAGGAACACATGCTGTGGATCTTTAAGCCATTGATTGTTAGTGACAGCAACAAAATTCACATGGCTATGTTCATTTTTTTAAAAAATGCATGGCATGATACCTGTTTTCCAAGATTTGGGGTTAATCCACATAAATGAAAAATTTCAAGCCAAAGGGAATTCAGTATTTTAACTATATATATGTAGTAGTAATTTTGGATAGTAGTCTTTATTATATTATTTCCTGCCTTCTTTTTTTTTTTCTAAAGATTTTATTTATTTATTCATGAGAGACACAGAGAGAGACAGAGATACAGGCAGAGGGAGAAGCAGGCTCTCTGCAGGGAGCCTGACATGGGACTCAATCCTGGGTCTCCAGGATCTCGCCCTGGGCTGAAGGCAGGGCTAAACCACTGAGCCACAGCCACCCGGGCTGCCCTATTTCCTGCCTTCTTAACCAGCCAATGCAGAACTTATTTTCTTATTGACTTGGAGACATTATTAAGAATACTGAGCACCCTGCTGCACTGTTATACAGTCTGTCCTCAGGGGTGACACACCTGTTAATTGTCACCAGGCTCCCACATGTTTTTTTTTTTTTTAAAGATTTTTATTTATTTATTAATGAGAGACACACACACACACACAGAGGCAGAGACACAGGCAGAGGGAGAAGCAGGCTCCATGCAGGGAGCCTGATGTGGGACTCGAGCCCGGGTCCCCAGGATCATGCACTGGGCCGAAGGCGGCGCTAAACCGCTGAGCCACCTGGGCTGCCCCCCACGGTTTTGAGTTCTAAAGTCTTTCCTTTCCTTTCCTTTTTTTTTTTCTTTTTAATCTTTACTTTTCTTAAATATATTTTGCAT